GAATGAATCACTCCTTGCTCTCAGTCATCAGTTATCACACACATCACAGGGTCCTTTTACTTCTTTATTTTCCCCACTAGACTCTGAGCTGTGTTGAAGGCATCAACTGAGTGTCTACCATAGCGCTTGACATGGGAGACTTTAAATAACTGTTGAACAATAACAACTGAATGGTCTGTCTGATCTTTGTGACAACAAAATTTCACAAGAATTATGAAAAAGGCCGTTTTGATGGGGACCATTTGATCCGAGCCTTAAGCCTGAGGGTGCCTGAAATTCTGTTTGCCTTTCAGTGACGTGGGCAGGCAAGAGGGTGAGCCCCGATCAAGTGCAGGTGTTTAACAAATATTTATTTCTGCCTCTCCATTTGATTAGTTATTATTATTTGTATTACATTTCTCAGTGAATTTTGCTTTGAATGAATATATAAGCTAACATGATGTATCACAGAGCAGTTGAGCATAAATGTCAATTTTTAAAGAGAATCCCAGTGTTGACTATCTACCCTGAAATCTTGACCAAGTTCTCTCCTGTCTCTACCACATCTCTTGCAACTTCTTCTAATCTCCATTCGCACTGCCTGCCCCACCGTAGCTAGTCCCTCGCCATCTCCCATCTGCAGTGCCATCATCACCTGCCAGCTTCAGTGCGCTCTCCTTATTAGACTGGAGTTCCTAAAACTCAGCACTGATCTTGTCATTTCCCTGCTTAGAAGCCATCCATGGTTCCCCGTTAGCTACAGAGTCATTCTTTTAAGACCCCATAATATTACCCCAAACTGACTTTTCCAAAAGTTGGTTTCCAAACTACCTTTCCAGAACCCTGTATGATTCTTATGTGTTTTAAAATATCCTATTTCTAGACCTATGTTCCTGCCTTTTCCCCAACCTACAATGCCTTCCATCCCATTTCTGTGTAACCAAATCTTATCCACTCTTTTAAATCCCAGCTCAAATACCACCTCCTCTAAGAAAACTTTCCTGCTCATCTCCTCTGTCCTTGAATTTGTATAATATTGTCTTACCCTTATTTTATTTATTTACATGTTGAAAAAAATTGCAAGTCCCCTATTGGAATCCCCTTAGAATCTCCCTAGGCCTTAGCACAGTGTTTGAATAGGTAGTAGGGATTCACTACATTTTTATAAACATTTTTTTAAATTACCAAAGTAATGCATGCACGTAAGCATTTAAAGTGTGCAAAAGTTATCAAATAAAAAGAATGAATCCACAACATTTTTTTCCTATTTATTCCTCCTAAATTCCCCAGCTGTAACCACTATTATAAATTTTATATAACTTTCAAAAATTGTTTATGAATATACAAGGATATAGGCATACTTTTTTTTTTTTTTTACACAGATGGGATCATACTTTGCATCTTGCCTTTTTCACACAACAATAGATCTTGGAGTATTTTTCATACCATATATAGATTTACTCAATCTTGTTAATGTCAATTTGCACATACTTATGCAGTAATAACTATAAGATACGTTTTTATTAATGAAATTTTGAGTCAAAGGTTATACCTGTGCATTTTATGTTTTGACCACATTTCTATTCAAAGAGGCTGTGTTTAGCATGTGCAAGCACTTCTGCTTCCCAGCAGTTGAATTTCCTCTGGGTATTTTCATAGTTTTAATTCTAAACCCTTGAAGAGGTAAAAATGGTATCACATTATTCTTTTTTTTATATAAATAAATGTATTTATTTATTTATGGTTCTGTTAGGTCTTTGTTGCTGTGCGCAGGCTTTCTCTAGTTGTGATGAGCGGGGGTTACTTTTCGTCACTGTGTGCAGGCTTCTCATTGTCGTGGCTTCTCTTGTTGCGGAGCATGGGCTCTAGGTGCACAGGCTTCAGTGTTTGTGGCACTTGGGCTCTGTAGTTGTGGCTCGTGGGCTCTAGGAGCACAGGCTCAGTAGTTAAGGTGCATGGGCTTAGTTGCTCCACGGCATGTGGGATCTTCCCGGACCAGGGCTCGAACCCCGTTCTCCTGCGTTGGCAGGTGGATTCTTAACCACTGCGCCACCAGGGAAGCCCACATTATTCTTTTAATTTGTGTTTTTTTAGTTATGAGTGAGATCTAGCATTTTTTTATCTTTCTTTTTCACATTCCGTTTCAGAGAATCTCCTCCTCTTGCATTTTACCTAGTTTTCTATTGTTTTTTAAAAGCTTCATTATATGTTAATGAAGTTTTGATTTTTTTCTGTTCGTTTGTCAATAAGTTTTTTTTAACAACAGTTTTTTGTTATAATGGTCATATTTAGCAATCTTTTCTTGGTTTCTGTGTTTTATATCTTGTTAGGAAGTCTTTTTCAATTCCGGGAATATTTTTTTATAGTTCACGTTTTCTTCTAGTACACACAGTTTCATTTAGAAAAATAAGTTCTGTATTAGAACCAATTTGAATTAATTTTACTTCAAGAAGTAAGATAGGGATTCAGGTTTATTTTTTTCTAAGTGACCAGCCAAGTGTCCCAACACAATTATCGCTCATCTTTTCCTCATTGATTTGAAATGCTCTTTTACACATATGCTAAATTCCATACGTATTTGGATTCATTTCTACCAGATTCTATATTCGATTCCATTGATCTCTCAGTACGAAACTCTTTTAATTACTGTAGTAGTTACTGTAGTTTTATAATGTATTTTAATATTTGGTATTAGTCCCCCCCCTTTTTTTTTTTTGGCGGTACGCGGGCCTCTCACTGCTGTGGCCTCTCCCGTTGCGGAACACAGCCTCCGGACGCGCAGGCTCAGCGGCCATGGCTCACGGGCCCAGCCGCTCCACGGCATGTGGGATCTTCCCGGACCAGGGCACGAGCCTGTGCCCCCTGCATCGGCAGGTGGACACTCAACCACTGCACCACCAGGGAAGCCTCCCCTTTTTTTAATTAAATATTTTATGGCTCTCTGGCAGGTTCCTTGTGTTTCATTTCCCACCTGGATAAACTTTACTATCTTTGAAGAAAAAATTTTAAATTCTGTTGATTTTTCACTGGAAACATACTGAATTTATGATTAATTATGGTGAACTGATATGCTTTCAAACTGAATCCTTCCCTTCACTGAAGTCTTCTAGTAAGCTCCCCAGGAGCTGTTTAATTTTGTACATTTCATATTACATTTATTCCTGGGTATTATTAATTTTTTGCTGATGTAAATGAGATGTGTTATTATATTTACTTACTGGCTATTGTTGCTGTATGAAAAAGCTATTGATTTTTTAGATTTTAATAATATACGCAGATATCCTTATTGGATTTTCTTAGTTTTTAGTAGTTTTTCTTTTCAGTTAAATCTATATTTCACAGGTATAAAGTCATGTCATCTGCAAATAATAATAATTTTGCATCTTTGTTTTCAATTTTTACATGTATTTCCTTTGACTAATTACACTTGCTAACATCTCCTGGAAAATGTTACATAGTAGTGCTTATAATGAACATCTTTGGCTCATTCATGATTTGGGGGGTAATTCTTCTAGTGCTTCATCTGGCCTTTGTTTAAGGAAGCACCTCTCTAGCTCTACATGGTTAAGAGTATGTAAGTGTGTGTATGCATATGCACACATGAGTGTGTGTTTAATTGAGGGGTTGATGCTGAATTTTATCTAATACCTTTTAAGCAAATTTGAATCAGCTATGCAGTTTGTAACCTCTGACTTATTAATATGTAATTAAACTAATAATTTTCCTATCAGGGAACCATCCTTGATTTCTTGGATTGGACCATACTTGAGCATAGTGTATTTTCTCCATTAATGTTTTACTGGCTTCCATTTTGTTAGTAGTTTATTGAAAGTTGATAGTAAATGAAATTGAAATTGGTCTGTAGTTTTCTTGTATCTGTGTGTGTCTTTTTTCTAGAAAAAAAAAAGTTTTACCTTCATACATAGAAATTGAAAAAAATCAGTAAGAAGACAAACAACTCAAGCTAAAAATGGGTAAAGGATATGATTATGCAATTCTCAAAAGAGGAATTAACAATGGCTAAAAATATATGAAAACACCCTCAACATCACCTGTGACTTGAAAATTCAAACTGCTAACACCTTAAGGCTGCCTTTCTTATATCTGTATTCCTGATATCATATAGAGAAAGAAATATATCCCTGCCTATTCTGTTAGTAATGACAATCTCTTTTGTCCTTATAGCTCCCGAATTCTAAGAAGCCCTGAAGCGCATCCATGGAGATACTTGGATTTTAATTTCTATAACAGGTAAAGAAAAATTTCAGTGGTCTCCACAAAAACAAGAATCTTTAAAGACAGTAGATTTCCCTTGATATCTGTTCAGGATTGCTTTCTAAACTAGGCTAAACAACTTCCTTCAGCAGTGTAGCTCTGATGCTCTGGCTTGGACCTGCATACTGAACTCAGCCCCTTTGGAACCACCAGATGAATTGTTACACAACCAAGTTGTTTGAGAAATCCCAGGTCTCTGTTTCTTCATCTATAAAATGGTGGCTTGTCTTGATAGACTAAAAGCAGGATGAAAGGAGATGATGTACACTGAAGCCTTTTACAAATCCAACGAAATTTGAAATATTATTAGTATTTTAAGAATCACAAGTGGAGCCAGCAGAATCCATGTAAAAAGTTGGCCTCTCAGATAAAAATTTTATAAAGGGCACCTAGTCTTTTCCATACCAAATAAATCAACCTCTGTAGGAGAGGACCTTTCTCACATGGCTACCTTCTCTGCCTCCCCGCTCCGCTCCCATGCTGCCTGCACTCTTCTCCTCACCAGCCCCATTTCTGCTGCTTCACAGAGTGTGCTCATTGCTTGTATGGCATTTGCACCAGGGAGAGAAGGGCAGGTGGAGGAGCTTGGACAGACACGTTCCTTCCGTCCCCTCCTGGCAGTCTAACTATTTCTCATTCTGCTCATTGGGGCTGCGAAGTCAGTGAAGTAGAATTTCTTTTCTACTTGGTTATCAGTCCTACACTTAGCATAAGGTTTCAAATGTGTGGAAGATGAGGCTACTCACGAGACACAGAGGCACAGGACTCCGGGCATAGACTCACTGTCTCTTAACAGAAAGTTGCCGTCCACCCCTTCCTTGAGCAGCAAGGTCTCACAGTCTCGCTTGGACAGAGGGCCGTGGTAATAAGGCAGATCCATGGTGAGCGCTCTCATATTCCAAGTTCAGAGACAACTCTGAGGAGAGAAGAGGAAGCAGTTGGCCTAATGGAGCCTGTGGAAATACCTCTTCCTTCTCTGACTTGTGGGAGTGAGATGAGTTTACTTGTGGGACTCAGATAGTTTCACAAGATTCAGGAAATGTGAGAGGTGGGGTAGTGAAGTGACCAAGACTTTTCAGCCTGTAAATAGACCAAGTATGACTCATAGAGGTGGGTTAAAGTGCATTTGGGTACACACTGGAATCAATGATATTTATGGCTCGAGCTCAATGCCAAAGACAAGCCCCCCAGAACTGGGTTGCAGCCGTGTATATCACCCTAAATCACCAGTTTTTACCTTCTCTGGCTCATGGCATCCCTTCCAGGGATCACGTCACTGATTTTGGCTGAAATGGATGCCCATTTTCTGCTGAAGCTGCCTATGATTATGCTATGCTTAGCTCAGAACAGGTGCTCACAAACCGTTCAGATGCTGAATGAATCCAAATATGTCCAGACTCAATGGAACAATTGAGAAGGTAAGATGCGTCTATGGGTCAAATGACATGAGAAATGTAAGACAGCGACGGGAATAGAAAGCAACTGGATGCTGTGGGGGGAGGATGGCTGGGGGGGAATATCCCCTGGCTAAGGCTCCTAGCCACTGGTGAACAAATGCCATTTTTAACATCCTCAAGCATCGTGCCTTTTGGGGAAGGAGCTGGTCCATGTGCAAGGGATATCTGGATATGCAAAATTAGTGCAGGGATACTTCTCCAGGTGGAAGAAAAGAATATATTAGGCTTAGGTTTGAAGAGTCTCAGGTCCTTTGAAGTTTGCATCCTGCAGGACAGCAGTGATGACCAAGGAAAGTCTATCTAGCCTGGGACACTTAGCCCCCTTTAGACAACCTGGTGTTGATGAGAAAAATCTCTCTTTTTCTGCTGAGCCTTTTCTACCTTGGTCAAACTGATATGCTTGGAAAAGATGGTTTCTGTTATCTGAGAATCAGAATTAGTCTTAAGAGTAATTTCTGCGGCCTTTTTTCCCCAGCTTTTTTGAGATACAATTGACATATAATATTGTGTAAGTTTAAGGTGTGCAACGTGTTAATTTGGTACATTGCAAATGATAACTACCATAGCATTAGCTAATACTGCCATCTTGTCACATGCTTACCATTTCTTTACTGTTGTGAGGACATATAAGATCTACTCTTGTATCAACTTTCAAGTATATAATACAGTATTATCAATATTAATTGTAATCACCATGCTGTACATCAGATTCCCAAAACTTATTCATCATATAACTGGAAGTTTGTACCCTTTGACCAATATCTCCCCATTTCCTCCAAGGCTTTTTGAGCAACTAAACCATCCTACATAGTGTTGTTTTATGTTCAAATAAATCTTTATTTACAAAAAGAGACACTGGCATGATTTGGTCGCCAGCTATAGTTTGTCAATCCTTGATTTAGAATAGTAAAATTTTTAACTGAGTACATGACTGCCTAGCTAAAGGCTATTTTTCCTATCTGTGACCACGTGACTAAATTTAGTGTCAATATAGATTAGCATCCTACATAGTATTACTTAATTAGCTATTAATTAATTAATTTCAGATAGAAGCCATGTAAACATATCTATAATCCAACGTTTTAAATTGAATTACATTTACTTAACTTTAACAATTACCATCACACAATGTCAATTAGTGTGAACTATATGTAAATTTCTCTCCCTATTCACCTGCCTTATCCAAATAGCTATAGGAATTTGTACATATCTCAAGTACCTATCTATAAAAATAGAACCGTGTGCTCAGGACACATCCTTACTTCCCTTAATTCCTTCTTAACTCAGATGATTATTTTATCTTACTGCTTTGCTTACCAGCTGTCTACCCACTCTTGGGGATTTGCCTTACATTGAACTTTCCTGTAGCAGATTTTTGTTCTTCCTTGGAAGTCCCACTGCCCTGCTCTTGGTTTAATGTAGTGTAATGGAGTGACACTAACTGAGGAGCTTGTATCAGAGAGATATGCTTTCAAACTCCAGTTTCTCTTGTGTGAACTCAGGCCATTTGGTGTATAAGTTTTTTGAGAATTATGGCAGCTGAGGAGAGAACTTTTACTCATGAAAGAGGAAATTGGGTACTAAGCTTGGTGTGAGGATATTTTGGGGCATAACAGAGGAAATAATTGGATATACACTCAAGGTCTTTATCATCACAGGGGCTTTCATGCCTTTTTTTCCTGTTTCAAAACCCAGTTCCTTCATCCTCACTCATCAGAAGAGAAATGAAAATTAAATCCATACTGAGGTAACATCTTTCACCAATCATTTTTCCAAAGAAGATATACTAATGGACAACAAGTACATGAACAGGTTCTCACAATCATTAATTACTAGGGTAATGGAAATCAAAATCACAATGAGAAGTCATGTCACACATGTTAGAATGTCCATGATCAAAAAGACAAGAGATAGCAAGTGTTGGTGAGGATGTGGAGAGAAGTGAACACTTGTGCACTGTTGGTGGGAATGCAAATTGGTACTAGCACTGTGGAAAACAGTATGGAAGTTCCTCAAAAAATTAAAAATAGAACTACCATATGATCCAGTAATTCCACTTCTGGGCATATATCTGAAGGAAACTAAATCACTATGTTGAAGAGACATTTGCACCCCCATGTTCAATGCAGCATTATTTACAATAGCCTAGACATGAAAACAACGTAAGTGCCCATCAACGTAATAATGGATAAAGAAGATGTGGTAAAAATATATACAATGGAATACATTCAGTCATTAAAAAAGAAGGAAATCCTGCCATTTACAACAACAAGGATGGGCCTTGGAAGCATTATAGTAAGTGAAATAAGTCAGACAAAGACAAATACTATATTGTAGTATTTGTTACAGCAGCAATAGAAAACTAATACACCTAACAAATCTGGTTCCCTCAGGAAGAAAATCCAGATTTCTCTCATGGAGGATGAAGCAGCTTCCCTTAACTTTTCTCTCCTCACTCATCTGTAGTTACATTGAAGAGTAGGATCCTATTTACTATGAATTAGCCCAGCAACAAAGCCTTGTTGCAGGAAAAGCATTTTAACTTCCTTTTCTCTCATACTGCTCCACGAACAGTCAAGCCTGTTCATCTAAATCAAACTGCATGAAAAAAAAGTTACCTAATGTTTACTTGCCAAATGAACAAATTTCCTAATCACATCTTCTCCTAAAATTCATACTTACCAAGTTTACCTTTTATATGTGATTGGAGTGTCTCAGCCGCTTTTGAGATTTTTGTTTGCATTCTTCAGGGTTTTCTTTTTTCATTCATGCTGGACATGAATTTTCAGAGGACACTATTCAACCCAGTGTACTTTCCTACTCCCCTCTTCTTCCACCTCCTCTTCCTCTTCTAAACCTCAGAGTGGTTTATGAGATGAGCACCATCTAAATACGAACTGTAGAAATGAGCTCCAAGGCCCCCAGAGAAACTATAGAGCAGAGAAAGGATTTATCTCAGTGATAAAACTCACCTACAGATCCTGGCTGAAGATTAAATGACCTCAGATGAATTATTTGCTTTTTTCTTTTGTTTACTTCTGAGTATTTCAATTTTTAAATAAAGTGATACATGTAAAACTATTTTCCATTATACAAAATAGTTGAAGCAGTAAGACAGATACATTATCTGTTTTCACCTCTTAGATGTCATAGGTATGCTCATATTAATTTAACACCAAGTTATTATTTTCAATATTCAATACAATTATAGCGCAGCTTTTAAAATTTTATTTGATGAATGATGAGAAAATGAGAGATAGTCAATCTGTGGTAGAGGGACTTTAGGAAAGCTGATAGTTCAAGATATGAGGAAATCAGAAAATAGGGGGAATTCAACATTGTAGTGACATCTGCACACTGTTAGTAGATGAGTAACATCTACCACATTAAAAAAAACCAGATTAATTAAGATAGTATCTAAACTAATTTAACAATTCAATGCCCTGTGTCAGCGTATCTCTTAGGATCCTTTTTGCTGCAAAAATGAGTCCCAACTCAAAAAGCTTAAACAGGGATGAAATTCATCTTCCATCCCACTGGAAGTCCAGAGGAGGCATGGGTTCCTAGGCCAGTTGGTAAAGCAGCTCAGTGCCACTGTTGAGGACCCAGATTTTTTCTCTCTTTCCAGTTTGGCCTTCTCAGCAGGCAGCCTGGCTCTTGTGGTCCCAGGATGATTGTCAAAGGTTCAAGTATTCCATCCACACACCTTGTGCAGGTAATTGATCCTCCTGGCATCCCCAGGACCCCTGGGAAATGCTCTGAGAAGGTCAGGGAGTGCTGAGAAAAGGACACACCCATTCCTAGCACACACACACACACACACACACACACACACACACACACACGCCCCACTGTCCACATAGGTGCTCTGGCCCCTCTCACTTCTTTTTCAGGTCAGGGCAGTGGCAGGTACTTACTGCCCAGTGATGTAAATTCTCCTGGGACAAGTGCCCCTTCTCCCTGTGATCCTGGACATCTTAGGAACTTGGCACATCCAGGTACTGTGCTATTCTAAAATATAGTGACTACATAGAAAATTTGAAGATCAGTAAGGCCTACAGATCAGGAGACCATTGCCATGGAAAAAACACCTTTTTTCTCACAATTTCCAAGAGGAGGGGGCACATGGGAAAACATAGGTCACAGGCACAAGAGCAGAGAGGGTGGGGGGGAACTGAGGTCATAGCCTCTATTGTGGTTTCCCTGGGGAGGAATAGGTGAGGCAGGGTAAGCAGGTCTAGAATTGGCTAGTTTGTTTGTTTCTTCTAAGAAGTCTCTATTACTTGTCAGGTGCAAGTCCCACAATCCTCCATTCCAAATAAAACTAATTTTATCTGCATCTCCTCTAACTTACATTCCTTAGATCACAGGTCTTTTTTTCCTACACAGTATACAGAGAAGAGAAAGTGCGTGTGTGTGTGTGTGTGTGTGTGTGTGTGTGTGGTGTATGTTAGTGCTTTCTAACTGAGAGATAGTTTATTATCTAGTTGAATAACTGTTAGGTGAGAAATAGAATCTCAAACGGTAACCATGGATTACACTTGATATTAAAAACAAATGTCTTGGCAGTTTTAAGAACTGCTTTATGATTTAACTATCTCCGTTAGTAGTTAGACCATAGTTCTAAAGAGTTGAAAAGGATGAGCTAATTTTCTATCTAAGCTAATTAGCTTTATGCTCTTCTTTGGCCACATAACTTGAATTCAGTGAAATGTTTTGCTGGTCCATTTCTTCACTGGTATAGAGAATGTCAACTGAAAAAAAAATGCAAAATGTAAGAGCAGTGAGTTTCAGTTTTATACGAGGACCTTACTGAGGACTAGAACCTGGGAGGCAGCCTCTCAGATAGCTATGAGGAACTGCTCTGAAGAGGTGGGAGAGGAGCCAGGATATATATGATTTTTTGGGGGGTGGGGTGGGGTCTGGGAAATACATGTAGTCAAGCATAAAACTATTAATGC